CCCTCCAAGTTTGGAGCCTCTCCCTCTAACCCCCCCCTAGGGGTCTGCAAAAAGGAAAGCAGAAGGTTAAAATCCCATTGAAATGCATTGCCGCCGAATTTCGGCAGCAAACCGGGAATACAGCAAGCTGATCTGGGGGGACTGGGGGCACCCTCTTTGGATGCCCCTGGAATCGGACCCCCTGGACCAATCTTCTCGAAACTTTGGGGGTCTTTCGGGGAGAGGCGTGAGCAGCCACGGTCCAAATTTGGAGGCTCTACCCCCTCCCCCCCAGCCCCCTGCAAAGTTTCAAGAGGTTTTTTGCCATTGACTTCAATGGCCCCATTGGTTATAATGGACCCGAATTTTTTCGGGATTTTTTTTCGGGATTCGGGAAAATGCATAGGAAGCCATTTCGGGATTGCAAAAGCCGAAAAAAGCCGAAAAACGTTATTTTCGGCTTTTTTTCCGGTTCGGGATCCCGAAATGCACACCCCTAAACGGCACAAGCGTCTTCACCATGTGAAAGTAAGCTATAGCAGCCGTTTTGTGGCTGGCCCCACCTCCTGCAACAGCCACTTTGCATCAGCCACTTTGTCAGAATTCCAAAGGGCGCCCACAGCCCCAAATGGGTTGGGGATTCTTGGCTTCCTTAGAATCAGGAAATCACACAGTTGGAAGGGAACATCCAGGCCATCTAGTCCCGACCCCCTGCTCAACGCAGGAACTGCCGACACCATCCCTGCCGAGGGTTTGTCCGGCCACTGCTTCAAGACTGCCAGGGAGGGGGGAAGCTCACCACCTCCCCAGGGAGCTGATTCTACCATTGCACAACTCTGGCTCTGAAAAAGTGTTTCCTAAGATCCAGCTGGTACCAGTTTGAAAGCCAGTTTTGGTGTCGTGCTTAAGTGCGCGGACTCTAATCTGGGAGAGCCGGGTTTGATTCCCCACTCCTCCATGTGCAGCTGCTGGATGACCTTGGGCAAGCTGTAGGTCTGATAAGAGCAGTTTCTGTCAAGAACTCTCTCAGCCCCGCCTACCTCACAGTGTGTTGGTTGTGGGGAGGGGAAGGGAAAGGAGTTTGTAAGCCGCTCTGAGACTCCCTTGGGTAGTGAAGGGCGGGGTATGAATCCAGTCTCTTCTTCTCTTGTTTGGTCTAGTGGTGAAGAGTGTGGATTCTAATCTGGGAGAACCGGGTTTGATTCCCCACTCCTCCAAGTGCACCTGGCTGGATGACCTTGGGCAAGCCATAGTTCTGACAAGAGCTGTTCTTGAAAAAGAGCAGTTTCTGTCAAGGGCTCTCTCAGCCCGCTTACCTCACAGGGTGTTGGTTGTGGGGAGGGGAAAGGAAAGGAGTTTGTAAACCGCTCTGAGACACCTTTGGGTACTGAAGGGCAGGGGTATAAATCCAATCTCTTCTTCTTCTACCTTCCCGACCTTAGTTTAAACCCATCCTTGCGTAGTCCTCTCCTCTGCTGCCAGCAGGAACAGCTCCCCGCCCTGCCCTAAATGACAGCCCTTCAAATGCTTAAAGAGAGCAATCCTGCCCCCCCCACCTCCTCTCCTCCAGACTGAACATTCCCCAAGTCCCTCGGCCTTAGGACTTCTTGGTCTCCAGGCCCCCGATCACCCTCGTCGCTCTCCTCTACACTCGCTCCATTCTGTCCACATCCTTTTTGAAATGAGGCCTCCAGAACTGCAGACCGAACTCCAGGTGCAGCGTGACCGATGCAGAGTGCAGCAGGGCTATGACTTCTTGCGATTTGGATTTTACGCCTCCGTTGATACACCCCAAGATCGCATTAGCCTTTTTTGTCGCCGCATCACACTGGCTGCTCATATTTAAATTACAGTTTAACCCGTACCCCAAGATCTTCTGGTGGTGGTGGTGGGGAGTTCCTGGCTCCTCTGCAAGTGTTTGCAGTTGCAGAATGAAGGATACTCACAGCCCAGGGGTTTCTGTGGTCTAATGTAGTCTCTTCTACGCAGGAATGCATCCTCTCTGGCATCATGTCGGTGAACGGAAAGAAGGTCCTTCACATGGATCGCAATGCGTACTACGGAGGGGAAAGCGCCTCTATCACCCCCCTGGAAGATGTGAGTATGCGTTCTGATTGGCTTTGTTGGGAACCGTTTCAGTTGTAATGAATTAGCCGCCTCTCTGTGTCCATAGCCGAGCCCCGCTGAAAACCTCCTTTTTCTAGAAGCGCTCAGTTCTCTAAATGGGCGTGTTTCCTTTGAACAAGTCTAGCTAATGGGCGGGATGAGATTTTTCCCTAGCAATACGGGTTTGTGCAGATCACAGAGCTGACAGTCTCTGTTGTTCGTAAGCCCTGGGGGGGCGTGGGTTGATAGAAGGACCGGAGCCAGAGGTCTACATTCTCTTCTGTTTTTAGTGGGATAAAACTTGGCAAGTGGCTGTAAACAGGCAACGGGGAATGGTTGAGGGTTCTGATTGTGACTCTCTTGAATAGACATGTAACTAGCATTTATCTCTTCCTGCTCTACACTTTTTAAACCCCTCTCCTGCTAATTTTGCAGTCAGAACTGAGCTGCAGCTCTTTTTGTGACCCCTCTGAGAGCCAGTTAGGAGCGCGGACTCTAGTCTGGGAGAACCGGGTTTGATTCCCCACTCCTCCACATGCAGCTGCTGGTGTGACTTTGGGTCAGTCGCAAGTTCTCTCAAAGCTCTCTCTCTTTAAAAATGTTTTAAATTATATTATAAGGGATATAGAAAAAAAAGAAGGGATAGGGACATTACCAAAAACACCTATGATGAGGGCAATTTCACAGCAATTAAGGACCTTCCTCCTTCAAAATTTTTATATATTTGTAACAAAGTATATGATATAATAGCTTAACAAATGTTTAACTAGATATATATGGTATAATGGCATAAGAGTATAGCTTAAAATATATATCACCTATTAACTTAAAAACTTATATTTTAATTTTTAACATTGATCTTATCTATTATATAGTACGGAGCTGCGGTGGCTCAAGTGGTTAAGACGCTGAACTGCAGGCTGTGGAAGGTCGGTAGTTCAGCAGTTCGAGACCCGAGTGTGCCGCATGATGGAGTGAGCTCCCGTCTCTAGTTCTAGCTCCTGCCAGCCTAGCAGTTCGAAAGCAAGAAATTGCAAGTAGATAAATAGGTACCGCTTCGGTGGGAAGATAACAGCGTTCCGTGCGCCTTGGTGTTTAGTCATGCCGGCCACATGACCACGGAAACGTCTTCGGACAGCGCTGGCTCTTTGCTTTGAAATGGAGATGAGCACCGCAACCCTGGAGTCGGATTCGACTGGCTTTTGAGCAAGGGAACCTTTACCTTTAAGATCTGTGCAGGAGCTGTGGTGGCTCAAGTGGTTAAGACGCTGAACTGCAGGCTATGGAAGGTCGGTAGCTTAGCAGTTCGAGACCTGAGTGTGCCGCATGTCGGAGGGAGCTCCCGTCTCTAGTTCCAGCTCCTGCCAACCTAGCAGTTCGAAAGCAAGAAATTGCAAGTAGATAAATAGGTACCACTTCAGTGGGAAGGTCACAGCATTCCGTGCGCCTTGGTGTTTAGTCGTGCCGGCCACATGACCACGGAAACGTCTTCAGACAGCGCTGGCTCTTCGGCTTTGAAACGGAGATGAGCACTGCAACCCTAGAGTCGGATTCGACTGGCTTTAGAGCAAGGGAAACCTTTACCTTTATTATATAGTACAACATAGAGCAGTTTTCTCAAGGACAGTTCTCGAGAAATTTCTCTCAGCCCCACCTGCCTCACAGGGTGTCTGTTGTGGGGAGGGGAAGGGAAAGGAGTTTGTAAGCCGCTCTGAGACTCCTCTGGGTAGTGAAGGGCGGGGTATAAATCCAGTCCCTTCTCTTCTTCTTCTTCTTCTTCTTCTTCCTGGTCTGCCTCCACCATTGTCAGGCAAGGTGGGATAGAAATCAAAATAAATAAATAAATAAATAAATTGTGAACAAGACCTCGGTGGGGAAGGCGCGGTCTGTGTAGTCCTGCTAGGAGACTCCTGTTCCCCCTCTCACTAGCAGTGTTACTGTCCTAATTGTGTGACTCCTTTGTCCTTCAAGCTGTACAAACGGTTCAATCTACCGGGATCTCCGACGGAGTCGATGGGCCGAGGAAGAGACTGGAACGTGGACCTGATTCCCAAATTCCTGATGGCGAACGGTGAGTGGCCAAGAGTGTCTTGACTGTCTTTCTCCTGACTCAAATGAAGCAACGGGGCTTCCTTTTTTCCAGGCTCCGCCAATGTCCGGGAACATTTGGTGGCACGTGAGTGGAGCAAAAGGGGGGGGGACGGGACTTAATCCTGAAATCTGGGATCCAGAACCTAAAAAGGGTAAGTCAAACAGAATAGAGGGCCAACAATAAAAACTTAATGGATATAGGCCTTCTTCGGAGGTCAAACACAATAAGGGGAGTGTGTTGGCTTATATCATAATACAGTACGATCATACAATTATACAACATAGATACAAGATGGACCAGAAAAGAATTGCTGTAAAAAAACAGTAAATATAGTAAAATGAATAAATAAGTGATACCTAACGATATAAGCCAATATGCTCCTCATTGGGTGCAGTCAGACGGCGTGCTGGGAGCGGTTTAAATTTCTCCGGTCCCAATGTGTTGTTGTTGGTTTTTTAACCTGGAGAATCGCGATCACACTCAACTTGTTCCGGATCGCTGCGCAGCCACATCGCTCCCCACCGTCCATGCGCGGGAGCGTGCATCGGTGTTTTTTCCCTCTCTCAGTTTGAGCATGCGCACAGGCAGCCATCTGTAGAATTAAAATTTTTGCGCGTGCGCAGAACAGCAACTTCCACTTCAACCCAACTGCTGTAACACTTCCCTTTAAACATTTACCCCGAAACTGGCCTCCGCGCGATCCCGAACTCATCTAACCAACAAAACTAGGCACTGTTTAAACATTGTTTTTAATAATGCGAGAGTGGAGCTCTGCCTGTGTGCATACCGCCGACGCTAAAATAAAATGGCGGGCGAAGAGCGGAAGTGGCTCGACACCGCAGGAGCGATCAGATGTCAGAAAAGTGCGGCTGGAACCGGAGAATCAGGAAAACACCCCTTGGGGACCTGGTAACAAAATACTCCGTTTTAAAGGGGGGTTGAGCTGGAAAGCGACGGCTGGGGACAGTGCGCAGATGTTGGGTGTGTGAATGTGGATATAAAATCTGTTGCTGAAGCGTGCCGAAAGGGGACTAAACGGCCCGTCTGAACCCACCCATTGTGTTTGACCTCTGAAGAAGGCCTATACAGGCCGAAACGCGTCAGGTCAAGTCCATTGGCCCTTGTGTGCTAGATTTTGGTATTTTTACATGAGGTATGGTTGGGTCCCTTATGTGTTTTTTAATTCTTTGTTAATAAATACTTGTATCTTTTTATACGATATGCATTGTTTTTGTTGTTGGCCCCCTATTCTGTTTACCTTTTTAAGTTCTGGCACACGAGTGGGACCATTTCTGCTGTAGTGCAACTCTCCGTGTTGACATTTTTAAAACGGTGCGTTATGTGAAATTTCCCACAGTAGGTTTTTTTCCTCACCAGGCGCAAACCCGAAGTTTTCTCCTCCTTACCCCGTGTTTCCGGAACGCGCTTAAACTGGGGGTTCCAAAAACGCAGAGTAGGAGGGAGGAAACTTCAAGTTTGCGCCTGGTGAAGAAAAAAGAATCTTCTGCTGGAAATTTCACAGAACGCACGGTTTTAAAAACGTCAATGCGCGGAATAGGGGGCCAACAACAAAAACAATTGTGGGGAATTCCACTACTGCAGAAATGGTCTGGAAGTGCCTGCCTTCTCTTCTCTCCTCTGCGCGAGCCTGCTGGCACCCAGTTCACACACGAAGAGCCTGCTTCCGGGCTAGCTACCACGGGGGTCCACTGCACGGCTTCTGTGAAATGAAAGAGACACCGCCCAGCAGCTTGCCGGTGTGAAGAACAATCCCATATGAACAGGGCTGGCCCGAGGTTTTTCGGTGCCCTAGGCGAAACTAGCGCCCCCCCCCCCGGCGAGGCTGCCTTGTGGCGCCCCCTTCACCTTGTGGCGCCCCCTACCACCGCGTGCCTCTCCGGCGCCCAAGACGGGGGCTAAGCTGGGCACATCAGGTGTGTGGGGGGGCTACAAGGTTCTTCGGAGGGCGGCCGTTCTGCTTTTTCTTTCCCCCCTCGCCCGCTTCCCCCCGTCTCTCCTTCCCTCCAGGGGACCGGGACCCCCCCCCAGCCGTGTGCGGCCCGTCCCCTCGCTCCCTGTGGGGGCGGCACCAAGGAGGCTCACCGAGGGTGGCGTGGAGGAGTCGTTCTGTCCGAGCAGGCCCGTCTCGGAGGAGGAAGCGGCGGCGGGTCTGCTCCAGCCCCCTCTATGCACCAGGCACGCCTACCTGAGCCGCCCTGCCACTGGGCCCTTCAGGCGGCGCCGTCCACCTCCTTCCTATCCTGCAGGCCACCTGTACCTCAGGAGGACAGGTCTCCCGAGCGCGGGGGGGTGCTTCCTCCCTCCTTCCTTCCCCACCCACTTCTGGGCGCCGGACTCGGGATGAAAGAGGCGGCGGCGGTCCCCTGGTCAGATGCATGCAGGGCTTTTGGCGGCGGGGGGGCCCTTTTGGTGGGGGGTGCAGTTTGGCGCCCCTAAGGGCCAGCCCGCTCTAGGTGAACGCCTAGTTTGCCTAGTGAGCGAGCCGGCCCTGCATATGAATCTCCCTGGACACTCCAGTCGTCTTTGGAAGCCCTGCTTTGGCGGCCCTGGCCTTCTGGAGCCAAATGGGGCAGCAGCCAGAGACGGGGCCTCCTCCGTCGTGGCACCAAAATTTTGGAGCTCCTCCCCAGTGAAGTTAGTCTGTCTCCATCAGTGTCTTTCACCAACAGATGGAAGACTTTTTTTGTTTCGTCTGGCATAACCCCCAGTAATGGTTCCTGGCCCTCCTTCCTTCTAACATTTGTTTATGTGTTTTTAATTCAATTATTGTACATTTTTAACTATAAATATAATGTAAATGATGATTTCTTGATGTGGCCTTAGGCCATAACAGCTCAACAAAATCTCCACAACATACAATAATTCTTAACTGTATTTTTAGTCGCTGAAATGTTCTAATGTTGACGTTCACCGCCTTGTGGACCCTGATCGGGCGGAAAGGTGGCATAAACGTGATCATCTTTATTAGTCAGTCCTGAAAGGAGTACATTTCAGCCTTACTTTCACTGTTCCTTCGTCAATGTAGCATTTGTGTATGTGCCCAGTTTGTGTGTTGTCCAGCACCAAAAAAGTTTTTGGCCTGCCCGAAAGCCCAGCTGCTCACTGCCTGGTCAGTACCACGCCAAGGCCAGCTCCATCTGCTGTGGTGGCTAACTTGCCCGCAGCCACTGGTTAATGTTAGTCACGTCCACCAATGGCCTTCAGTGGATGCTTCTAGAAACATAATGCCCTGACCTGGATAGCCCAAGCTAGCCCAGTCTCCTGAGATCTCAGAAGCTACGTAGGTTTGCCCCTAAGGACATCAGAAGAGCTCTGCTGGATCAGACCAGTGAGGGTCCATCTAGCCCAGCATCCTGTGTCACACAGGGGCCAGCCAGTTCCTCTGGAGGGCCAACAACAGGGCACAGAGGCTGAGGCCTTCATAAGAACATCAGAAGAGCCCTACTGGATTAGACCAGTGAGGGTCCATCTAGCCCAGCATCCTGTGTCACACAGGGGCCAGCCAGTTCCTCTGGAGGGCCAACAACAGGGCACAGAGGCTGAGGCCTTCATAAGAACATCAGAAGAGCCCTACTGGATTAGACCAGTGAGGGTCCATCTAGCCCAGCATCCTGTGTCACACAGGGGCCAGCCAGTTCCTCTGGAGGGCCAACAACAGGGCACAGAGGCTGAGGCCTTCATAAGAACATCAGAAGAGCCCTACTGGATTAGACCAGTGAGGGTCCATCTAGCCCAGCATCCTGTGTCACACAGGGGCCAGCCAGTTCCTCTGGAGGGCCAACAACAGGGCACAGAGGCTGAGGCCTTCATAAGAACATCAGAAGAGCCCTACTGGATTAGACCAGTGAGGGTCCATCTAGCCCAGCATCCTGTGTCACACAGGGGCCAGCCAGTTCCTCTGGAGGGCCAACAACAGGGCACAGAGGCTGAGGCCTTCATAAGAACATCAGAAGAGCCCTACTGGATTAGACCAGTGAGGGTCCATCTAGCCCAGCATCCTGTGTCACACAGGGGCCAGCCAGTTCCTCTGGAGGGCCAACAACAGGGCACAGAGGCTGAGGCCTTCATAAGAACATCAGAAGAGCCCTACTGGATTAGACCAGTGAGGGTCCATCTAGCCCAGCATCCTGTGTCACACAGGGGCCAGCCAGTTCCTCTGGAGGGCCAACAACAGGGCACAGAGGCTGAGGCCTTCATAAGAACATCAGAAGAGCCCTACTGGATTAGACCAGTGAGGGTCCATCTAGCCCAGCATCCTGTGTCACACAGGGGCCAGCCAGTTCCAGTGGAGGGCCAGCAACAGGGCATAGTGTCCCCTGATGTTGCCTCCTGACTCTGGGATTCAGAGGTTTAGTGCCTCTGAATGTGGAGGTTCCCTTTGGTCAGTACTTGGATGGGAACCTATGAAGAAATACCAGGGTCGTGACATAGAGGCAAGCAATGGCAAACCACTTCTGAACGCGTCTTGCCTTGAAAACCCCGCGGGGTTGGCCATAAGTCGGCTGCGACTTCACTGCAAAGGAAGAAACAATAACGAACCCAAGGCATAGCTCGGTCACGTAAATTCATCTTGCTTCTCTGTTTCACCCTCACAGGGTGAACTTAAATCAAGTGTGGGAAACTTGCAAAGGGCCGGATTGTGTACAAACAGGGACTACACTTGAGAGCCTAAGTTCTGCTTTGTGCTGGTCGGGACTGCAGCTGACCTCTCGGAATCAGATGTCGGCTCCTTCCCTTTTCAAAATGTCAAGGGCAGCACAATGAAGCCGTGTTTCTGTCTCTGGAGAGCAGTGTCATCATTGGATGGCTTGGGTGACTTGCCTCCCAAATCTTTTCCCTTCCCGTGAATCTGAAGGTCCCCTTCAGCTCATTCGGAGGGGAGGGGCCAGGGCTCAGTGGCGGAGCCTCTGCTTGGCAGGCAGAAGGTCTCAAGTTCCATCCCAGCATCTCCAACGGAAAAGGATCAGGCGGTCGGTGATGGGAAAGACCCTTTCCCCGAGACCCCGGAGAGCCACGGCCAGTCTGAATAGATGCTACTGGCTTCGACGGACCAGTGGCTTGATTCAGTATAAGGCGGCTTCTTGCGAAAGAGGCCAGGGCTCAGTGGTAGAATATCTGCTTGGCACGCAGAAGGTCCCAGGTTCAGTCCCCGGCATCTCCAGTTAGAAAGGACCAGGCAGGAGGTGATGGGAAAGACCTCAACCTGAGACCCTGGAGAGCTGTAAAGAGGGGCCGTGGCTCAGCGGCAGAGCCTCTGCTTGGCACGCAGAAGGTCCCAGGTTCAGTCCCCGGCATCTCCAGTTAGAAAGGACCAGGCAGGAGGTGATGGGAAAGACCTCAACCTGAGACCCTGGAGAGCTGTAAAGAGGGGCCGTGGCTCAGCGGCAGAGCCTCTGCTTGGCACGCAGAAGGTCCCAGGTTCAGTCCCCGGCATCTCCAGTTAGAAAGGACCAGGCAGGAGGTGATGGGAAAGACCTCAACCTGAGACCCTGGAGAGCTGTAAAGAGGGGCCGTGGCTCAGCGGCAGAGCCTCTGCTTGGCACGCAGAAGGTCCCAGGTTCAGTCCCCGGCATCTCCAGTTAGAAAGGACCAGGCAGGAGGTGATGGGAAAGACCTCAACCTGAGACCCTGGAGAGCTGTAAAGAGGGGCCGTGGCTCAGCGGCAGAGCCTCTGCTTGGCACGCAGAAGGCCCCAGGTTCAATCCCCCGCGTCTCCAGTGAAAAGATCTGGCAGGAGGGGATGGGAAAGACCTCAGCCTGAAACCCTGAAGAACCACTGCTAGTCTGCGTAGGCAGTACTGCCCTTGATGGACTAGTAGTGTGACTCAGTAGAAGACAGCTACATGTCAGTGTTCCATTCAGGAGAGGGGCCATGGCTCAGTGGCAGAGCCGCTGCTTGGCATGCAAAAGGTCCCAGGTTCAATCCCCGGCATCCCCAGTTAAAAATATTGCAGTGATGGAAATGCTAATAAATGCGGCTGCCAGTCAAAGTAGCCATTACTGACCTTGGAGGACCAGTGATCTAATTCAGGAAAAATCAGCTGCCCATGTTCACATGTATTGTTTGTCCACATGAAAGGACACTGGGTAAGATTAATTGCTTGGCCACAGGTCTGGGTTGGATGACTGCCTGCTGTGGATTGCCCTTCTGCGCTTGTGCAGATGATGACCAGAAACACAAGGACTTCCGGGGTAGAAGGACCTGGCTCTCTTTAGGTGCATTTGTTGAGCCCCAGAAGTTGAAAAGAGAACCATTGAGCTGTGGAGCTTTTTTTTTTTTTTTACTTGGTAGGAGGGGGCCATGGGTTAGGGATCAGGATACCTGCCTGGCATGCAGAAGGTCCCAGGTTCAATCCCCGGCATCTCCAGTTAAAAGGATCTGGCAGTAGGTGCTGTGAAAGTCCTCTCCTAGAGACCCTGGAGAGCTGCCGCCGGTCTGAGAGGACCACGCTGACCTTGGTGGGCCGAGGCTCCGCTTCAGCAGAATATAGCTTCGCGCCTTCACTCCTGCTGATTAAAAAGAAGCCTCTCTCGTTTGCAGGCCAGCTGGTGAAGATGTTGCTGTATACCGAAGTGACCCGCTACTTGGACTTCAAAGTGATCGAAGGCAGCTTTGTCTACAAGGGGGGGAAGATCTACAAAGTTCCCTCGACCGAGGTGGAAGCCCTGGCCTCCAGTGAGTAGATGGCGCTTTCTCCCAGCCGCAGTCCTGCCGGCGTTGCCGTGGCTCCCGCCAGCACCTTTCCTGGTGCCCACCAAGTGTGTTTTGAAAGTGGGCAGGCTCCTGATTGGCCATTGAAGGTTTGATTGGCAGATTTTTTAAAAAACATGGCTTTGGCAGTAGCTGCTACCACAGCACAGGGATTGTCACTGAGGGAGCGAAGGTAAGCCGCGGCAGCTGTTTTGTGGCCGGCCCCGCCTCCTGCAGCAGCCACTTTCTGGCTGCTCCCATCACGTTATCCAGGGGTCATTTCGTAGAAAAAGAAGGGCAGAAGCTCATTAGCATAACTCATTAGCATAACTTATTTGCATATGCCACACCCCCTGACATCACTGGAAGTGTGTCAGAAGGCAACACCCACCGCTCAGGCTCCACTGGACTGTTTTGGATTGCTAGCTATTGGGGGGGGGGCGTGCAGATTTGCCCTCAGAGAGGAGGGAGAGCTTGTACCTGAAGGTGGGCCGGGGGGGGGGGCTCTGCAACTTACCTGGCAGCTTCTTGCTCCTCGTGGCCTGACTAAGGGCTGCTGGGAGCAGGGGGCGGGGCTTGTTGCATGTACCTGCCCCCTGGGTTCCTTACTGCCGGAGCTTTGCTCCTGTACGCTCCCGCAGGAAATGAACCCTGACGTTATCTCAGAATTCCACAGGCGCCAACCAGCTGGAAAAGTTTGGGGACTCTTGGGTGAGACTGGGCATTTGGTTTAGTGCTTCACGTCTCGATCCAGTGCAGTGGTTTTGGTGAATAGGAATTACAGGCCTAGCTGGTGCAAATGCATTTGAATCCTGTGCATCAGATTGCCAATGTTTTGAGCTGCACTTGGTGGGGAGGGCGTCTCACGTTGTCCAAGCAGTGTCTTTGCTCCTGGATGGCACAATGAAGGACGCGCTCAGATCTGACGGTTTCCCGGCCTTGCAGGTCTGATGGGCTTGTTCGAGAAACGGCGCTTTCGTAAGTTCCTGGTCTACATCGCCAACTTTGACGAGAACGACGCCCGCACCTTTGAAGGGGTTGATCCCAAGAAGACCACCATGAGGGACGTGTACAAGAAGTTTGACCTGGGCCAGGACGTGATTGACTTCACCGGCCACGCTCTTGCGCTGTACAGGACTGACGAGTAAGCGGCTGCCCTTCCTCTTGCCCCCGGGGGGGGGGGTGCGTGTCCGTGCGTGCCAAGGTGGGCGGGACCAAGATCCAACCTGCAGGAGCGCCTCTGAGGCCAGGGCCGTAGCGGGGCAAGCCACCGGTGGGCTCTGTAGCGAATAGAAAGCCAATCTTTGAGACCATGTGACAGTTTGTTCCAATTTGTTCAGGAGGCCTGGAGGCTTACCTGGGAAGCACAGAATCTCACGTGTCGTGTGGGTTGTTCACCCACAAGCAGTGTACCCTCTAAGCTGAGTCGGTGTGAGCTAGCTCACAGTTTTTTAGCCTCCGGCTCACACATTTTTGTCTCAGCTCAGGAAGGAGGGCTCCAGAGCAAACTAATTTATGCAGTAGCTAAATCGCTAAAATTTGTGTCAGGGGAGGAGCTTTGGTGAGTCATTGCTCACTCGACGTGAGCAGGGTCTCAAAAAAGCTCACCTCCTGGCCACAAATTTTGTTGGTCTTTAAGGTGCCACTGGACTCTTGTGCTTTTCTGCTACTACATACAGATTAACACGGTGACCAGTGTTCCCTCTAAGCTGAGTTAGCGTGAGCTAGCTCACAGTTTTTTAGCCTCCGGCTCACACATTTTTGTCTCAGCTCAGGAAGGAGGGCTCCAGAGCAAACTAATTTATCCAGTAGCTAAATCAATCACTCACAACTTTAATGCCAGTAGCTCACAAAGTAGAATTTTGGCTCACAAGACTCCACAGCTTAGAGGGAACATTGCCCACAACTCGCAGGGCTCTTTTTGTAGCAGGAACTCCTTTGCATATTAGGCGACACACCCCTAATGTAGCCAATCCTCCAAGAGCTTACAGAGCTCTTCTTACAGGGGGCTACTGTAAGCTCTTGGAGGATTGGCTACATTAGGTGGGTGTCACCTAATATGCAAATGAGTTCCTGCTACAAAAAGAGCCCTGGGCGACACACCCGTAATGTAACCAATCCTCCAAGAGCTTACAGTAGCCCCCTGTAAGAAGAACTCTGTAAGCTCTTAGAGGATTGGCTACATTAGGGGTGTGTTGCCTAATACACAAAGGAGTTCCTGCTACAAAAAGAGCCTTGGGCGACACACCCGTAATGTAGCCAATCCTCTAAGAGCTTACAGTAGCCCCCTGTAAGAAGAGCTCTGTGAGCTCTTGGAGGATTGGCTGCATTAGGGGTGTGTGGCCTGATATGCAAAGGAGTCCCTGCTACGAAAAGAGCCCTGCCCACAAGTATCTACTTCCTGCATTGAATCCTAATAGTCGAGGAGTAGCCCGGATGGTATTTGTGGTCTGGCCCAAAATTACGGTGGGGGCTATTCAGGGCTCCGCCCCCTCACTTAAAGGGATACCTCCCCCCCGGTTTTCTTCAAGCAAGATTTTACATTTTATAAAGGATTGTGTGGATGGAGACGGGCAAGGGAGGCTAGGAGAACAGAGGGAGGTACAGTTATTTACAGACAATATTTTTATTTGAAAAATAACGGCAGGCCCCACCAGGGGGAAAAAAATTGCCCCACAAGCTACAGCATCCTGGCTATGGGCCTGTTTGTGGTTCCAGAAATGTCAGGTGCAGTAAAGAACGCAAGTGAGCTGCCCTAGTGGAGAGGGTCTGCGTGAGAAAGTAGCATTCACGGGATAAGTTGCGGACCTGTTGTCGAAGCAGGGGAAGCCCTTGGGGGAGAGCAGAGAAAAGGCACTTGGGCCACAGCTCCCTATTACTACCGCTTTGCTTATTGCCTCTTCCCCCCTTTCCTCAGCTACCTAGACCAGCCCTGCCAAGAAACCATCAACCGGATCAAACTGTACAGCGAGTCCCTGGCTCGATATGGCAAAAGCCCCTACCTGTATCCGCTCTATGGCCTGGGGGAGCTGCCCCAGGGCTTTGCCAGGTGAGAGACATTCCTCAGCCGTGAGCCTCTGTGTCTGTCTTTAAAACATCTGTCAGCCACCGCTATGCCATACGGGGGGTGTCAAGGAGGCTTGCCAAACCACAGCAGAATGGGAAGAAGCAGCAGAAGACAGCCAGTTCCACCGCGGGTTTGATAGAAGTCTTCCGGGGGCCTGATCCGGCCTCCGGGCCACATGTTTGACACCCCTGCTATAGAGCTTTGCAGTACAGCTGATGTGACATTCTTGTTAGCTGGGTTGACCGCTTTCCCAGTGCCCCGGCCTTCCTTTGTATAAAGGAATAGTGTACATTTCTCTGGGTTTATCATTTCATCCTCATGCGACGTCAGTGCCTCCCAGTGTGAAGGTCTGTAGTTCCTGACCTGCTGAAGATACTTGTTGAAGCAGGCGTCTGTGCTTCCAGTGGGGTCACGATAAAATCTAAACATTTAGTTTATTTGCGGTTTATCTGCCGAAGGCTCTTAGATTCTTAGAATGTTCCTTGATGTGATATCCGTGACTCTCTATCGTAAGTCGCTCTGAGACTGTGAGTGAAGGGTGGGATATGAATCCAATCTCCTCCTTTTCCTCCCTCCTCTTCCTTCTCCTCCTCCTCTTCTTCTAAAATCCTTGTTTTTTGTTTCCAGGTTAAGTGCCATCTATGGCGGCACCTACATGCTGAACAAGCCGATCGAGGAGATTGTTATAGAAAACGGCCGAGTGGTTGGAGTGAATTCTGAAGGGGAGGTACGAGAATGCATTCTGACTTATTGCCTGCAAACTTGAGGTCTAGTGGGCAGCTCTGAAAATGGGTTGAGTATGACTAAGCCCCCCCTGTGTTTGCACAGAATCCACTTGGCCACATTCCCCTTGCCCAGCAGAAAAACGAAGGGAATTATTCTGGTCTCCTTTTTGTGGATTCCTACTTGGATAATGACACCGCTTTTCAGAACTGCTTCTGGCTTGGCAGCGTCTCACATAAAGGTGGTGTCTCTGCCAGAAGTCACATGTGCTTTACACATGGAGTGCAGCCAGGAAGTCCGTTTTGTTGAGGGTATCCAGGAAGCATAGTTGATGCACCCTGTCTGCCCGTGCCCTTACATTAAAATGAACAAGTCAGGAGTGTGGATATTTTGTTTGGCATATCTTGGGCAGCCCAGTACCAGGCAGGCTTTACCCTGGCTCTTCTTTTGAGCTACCTGGCTGGCTCTCAAAACATATGCTGGGTTAAGTAGACTGTGGCCTGAGAGAGCCAAATTGGAGAAGTCTTTTGGGGTACTTAAAAGCCTTGTGACGTTAAGTGACCTCTTTTACCTGCAGCTATCCCCCCCCCCCCCAATTGATGCAGCCGTGCCTGTGGTTGGCTGCCTGCTTTGTTGAGGGGTATCCAGGAAGTACAGCTGATTAATCCCATTGGTCCCTTTTACACCTCCCCCTACCCCAGTGGAGTCCCTTGGTGAAAGGGGAAGGGAATACAGCTGCCCTGTACTTCCTGCTGGAAAATCAGGATGTAAAACTGAACAGATCTTGAGTGAGTGTGTGGCGTCCTTGCTTATAGGGGAAACGGTTTTACCTTTAAACACTCTCTGAGTACATAAACTTGGTAGTTTTATGCTGCCACCAGGTAGTATGACCTAGGGTCTGGGCATTTCAGAGGACTATGTGGCCCTGAGGAAGTACTTCACTGATTTCTGGGATAATTTTAAACAAAAATGATTTATTTAATAAAGAACTAAAATAGGTTTCTGGTTATTTTGAACAGTTGCTGAAGAAAGGAACTCGTAAATATAACTGGCAAAGCTTGGTGCCACAGTCTCTCAAACTCCAAACGTCACTCTGACAGGCTTATACACTCATATATGTAGCCGCGCAGCTCTCTTAGTCACACAGACTAAACTGTTGGTCTTATTCACACAGAATTAGACTCAGAATTCCATAGTCACACAGACTTGGTTCTCTCTTCAAGCTTCACACACAGAATCCTTCATAACTCCCAGAGTCACACAGACTCTCTTCAAAACTCTTCCATACTTGTCTCTCTCATATCACAGCATCTCCAAACACACACACAGAATCTAGTCTTGTCACTTTTTCCTTGTGACCAGTCATAGCTTGAGTTTCAGCATCACAGCCCCTGGCTTTGTCTTTCTCAAGCAAGGCGTCCCAGTGTGGTGCCCGTGGACAGTGCATCACCCGCCAATACCTTTCCTGTTGCCGGTGAAATGTTTTTAGAAAGTGGGAAGGGCCAGGTGGGTTTCCCCCATCTCATGTAAAAGGGATAGTCAGGTCAAATCCTTTAAAAAGCCCTTGATGGCCAGGGTCCAGCGTACCTAAGGGACCGCCTTTCTCCATATGTTCCCCCAAGAGCGCTATGGTCGGGGTCGCAGCACCTACTGGTGGTTCCCGGTCCCAAGGACATCAAGCTGGCTGCAACCAGGGCCAGGGCTTTCTCGGCGGCAGCTCCTGTCTGGTGGAATGAGCTCCCAGAGCAGGTTCGGGCCCTTCGGGACCTGGCGCAGTTTTGCAGGGCCTGCAAGACGGAGCTCTTCCGCCAGGCCTTTGCATAGGAGCCGCCACTGTACCACCACCGAGTTGCCATCTTCGACTGCGGATTAGATCTGGAGGTGAGCCGGCCCTGGGCAGACGCCTAGTTAACCAAAGAATGTATGTTGTCAGGTTAGGATGTTGAATGGAACTCATCTTGGATTAAGAAAAAATTAACATCAAGAGCACTGCACTTTACTTAATGATTGTTTTATACTGTTTAATGATTGTTTTTATGTTGTTTTAACTGTTATTATGGCAATGGCCTCTGTTGTAGCCGCCCTGAGCCCGTTGGGGAGGGCGGGGTACAAATCTAATGAATAAATAAATAAATAAAAATGAAGGCACACACTCCCAGATGAAGGTTTTTAGCTCAGCGCTTCATGCGGTCGGGTTAGAACGGATAAAAGGAAGTACTTCTTCACCCAAAGAGTGATTAACACATGGAATTCACTGCCACAGGAAGTGGTGGGTGCTACAAGCATGGACGGCTTCAAAAGGGAATTAGATAAGCATATGGAGCAGAGGTCCATCAGTGGCTATTAGCCACAAGGTATAGCTAGGGGCTCTGGGGCAAGTGATGCTCTGTCTTCTTGGTGCTTGGGGGGGGGTCAACAGTGGGAGGGCTTCTAATGTCCTGGCCCCACTGCTGGACCTCCTGATGGCACTGGTATTTCTGGCCACTGTGTGACACAGAGTGTTGGACTGGATGGGCCTTTGGCCTGATCCAACATTGGCGTCTCTTATGTTCTTATGTTCTTATGTGTAGGCAAAAAATGATTTTAAACAATTATGTGCATTTTTAAAGCATCCTGTTAAAACAAAGCTTCTGCCTGAAATGTTTATGAGCTACTGTTAGAGTTCTGCACAACCTCAGTCCCTGACAATTTGTGGCTGGCTCCGCCTCCTGTGGCATCCATTTTGTGGCTGGCTCCGCCTCTTGCGGCAGCCATTTTGGGGTTGCACCCACAACTCTGTGTCAAAATTCTAAAGGTGCCCACAGGGTCAAAAAGGCTTGGGGAACCACTGTTCTTTTTTTTTGGTAAATTTTATTTATCAGTTTTCCACTTATTTATTATTTATTTATTATTTATTTATTAATCAAATTTATACCCCGCCCTCCCCCGTAGGGCTCAGGGCGGCTTACAGGGCAAGGAATCTTGCAACAATAAAAACATCCTATACATTTAAAACATACTATACAGTTTAAAACCAATCCCCATTAATTATCATTTACATATAATCATCCTTATATACATTTGAGTCTATATTTTCCATACTTTGTTAATCCAGTTATACAGGCTTTCCCATCTTTCAAAAAATACACTTTCATCTTTCCCTTGAAGAATTAAACTTTGTCCATTTCTGCTACTTCCATCAATTTACATAGTATTTCCTCTCTTGTGGGGAATTTATCTTGTTTCCAGTATCTGGCCAACAATATCCTTGCAGTTGTCAATATATATATATATTATTTATTTATTTATTTATTTATTTATTTCTTCGACTTGCTACCCCGCTCTAACCCCCAAAGGGGCCTCTGAGCAGCTACAGTTATTCCTTATCCCTAACCTATGGCCACAATTCTTAGGGGTGGGGACATCCCTACCAGCACCCAGTGGAGGGGGGTTTCTTTTCTCGGGTCGGCCCCGTCGTCTTCAGCTTCGGCTTCTGGCTCCTTTTCTGGCGATCTTTTCAGCGGTGGATTGGTTGGCCAAATATTAAACAAATATTTATCATTTTGTTTGTAATCCCCGGGTATCATATTCAATAAAGCTATTTCAGGAGTTAGGACCAGGGTTTAACTTCATGATATATGAAATTATCTTTTGTATCATCTTCCAATATATATTGTTTTTCCCACAACGCCACCACATATGGAAGAAAGTCCCCACGTTTCTTTTACACTTCCAACATATTTTAGATATCGATGGTTGACAATTAGCTATCTTTTCTGGAGACCAGTACCACCGGTGAAAAACTTTATAGATATATTCTTTATAATTAGTCGCTGTCATATATTTCAATGATTCCCATGTATTTGCCCATTGATCTATAGCTATCGTATGCCCTATATCAGTGGTGGCAAACCTTTTAGAGACCGAGTGCCCAAACTGCGACCCAAAACCCACTTATTTATCGCGAAGTGCTAACACGGCAATTTAACCTGAATACTGAGGTTTTACTTTAGAAAAAACAACTCATACATTAACTTAAGATGATCCAAACAAAGTAAGGAAAGCAATCCCAAATGCTTTCATTTACTTAGAATTATTTGGCAGAGAATTCGACACTTTAATGATGGTCTGGGCCTGACTGGGGCGATGGCACGCGTGCCCACAGAGAGGGCTCTGAGTGCCACCTCTGGCCCCCGTGCCATAGGTTCGCCACCACTGCCCTATATCTTTCATCCATGCTATCATGCTCAACGGGGAGCCCTTTGTTCTAAAACCTCGCCTCGTCCCCCAGATCGCTCGCTGCAAGCAGCTCATCTGCGACCCCAGCTACGTCCCCGACAAAGTAAAAAAAGTTGGCAAAGTCATCCGGGTCATCTGCATCCTGAACCACCCGATCAAGACCACCAACGACGCCAACTCGTGCCAGATCATCATTCCCCAGAACCAGGTCAACAGGAAGTCCGGTACGTCTGGCCGGGGGATCCCCGATCCGGGGGCGGGGGAGAAGCAGCCTCTCCCCTTGGGACTCCCGTCGAGGTGGTCGGTGCGACTTCACTTAGCAAGGCTGTCTCGGTGGGGCTGCTCATGGGATTGGGGGGCAAAGCCGTCTTGGAAGGGATTCCCATTGTGTTAGTCTGTCGCAGGCCGGACAAGCAGGAGCCAGCTGGCGCTGTAAGAACGGATCTCAAGCGTCAGATTTGGGGGGCTGGAGCCCACTTCAGAATTACTACACTCCTCCCCTGCAATTGGGATTCCTCTGTGTGTGGCTCCACCTCCTGCAGTGGCCGTTTTGTGGTTATCTCCACCGGCCACGGCAGCCATTTTTGACAGTATTCCAAAGGTGCCTACAGGCTCAAAAAATTTGGGGACCCCTGCCCCAGGTGCTAAAGCATTCATAGGATCATAGAGTTGGAAGGGACCTCTAGGGTCGTCTCGTCATAGAATCACAGAGTTGGAAGAGATCTCCAGGGTCATCTAGTCATGGGATCTCTGTGCGATGTGGCTGCGAAGAAAGCGAATGCAATCTTAGGATGCATGAACAGAAGCCTTGTGTCCAGATCACAGGAGGTGGTCGTTCTGCTCTGTTCTGCTATGGTCAGGCCTCAACTGGAGGACTGTGTCCAGTTTTGGGCACCACATTTCAGGAAGGATGTTGACAAGCTCGAGCGTGTCCAGAAGAGGGCAACCAGGATGGTGAGAGGGTTGGAATCCAAGTCTTATGAGGAAAGGCTGAAAGAGTTGGGTCTGTTTAGCCTGGGAAAGAGAAGGCTTAGAGGGGACACGATGGCAGTCTTCAAGTATCTGAAGGGCTGTCATGTAGAAGCTGGAGCAGATCTATTCTCTCTTGCTCTGGATTGCAAGACTAGATCTAATGGGTGGAAATGACAAGGGAGTCAATACCAGCTAAATATCAGGAGAAACTTCCTAACTGTAAGAGTGGTTGAGCAGTGGAACAGTCTGCCTCGGGAGGGTGGTGGGTGCTCCTTCACTAGACGTTTTCAAGCAGTGGCTGGACGACCAGCTTTCAGGTATGTTGCAGGGCTATCTTTCGGCTGTGCTCCTGCAGAGTGCGGGGGGTCGGACTAGATGACCTGCAAGGTCCCTTCCAACTCTTAACATTCTATGATTCTATTATCTCTAGGGTCATTTAGTCATAGAATCATAGAGTTGGAAGAGACCTCCAGGGTCATCTTGTCCAACTCCCTGCTCAATGTAGGAAATACATAAATACCTCCCCCCCTCACACACACCCAGTGACCCCTGTTCCATGCCCAGAAGATGACAAAAAAAACTCCTCCAGGATCCCTGGCCAAAAAGACCTGAAGAAAAATTCCTTGGTGACCCCAAAGTGGTGATTGGCATTTCCCTGGGGCATTTAAAAAAGGGCCACAAGAACAGCACTGATGCAACCCTCCCTGCCTTCCCTTCTCATTATCTAACTAAGTTCTGTTCCCACTGCTATCATAGTGCTGTGGATAAAATGGAGACTTCTAGTAGAGTTCCTTTGGTCTGTTTCAGACATCTACGTCTGCATGATCTCTTCCGCACACAATGTGGCAGCGCAAGGGAAGTACATCGCCATTGTGAGCACTACGGTGGAGACGAATGACCCGGAGAAGGAGATCAAGCCCGCCTTGGAGCTCCTGGAGCCTGTTGAGCAGAAGTAAGCACTCACGCCTAGCCCCACAGAGGGGACCTGGCTATCTCCTTTTCCTTGCCAGTGGCCCATTTCAGTCTGGCCTCTGTTTGCGTGGCATGGGAGAGATCAGAGGGGCAAAGCAGGAGTGGGGTTGGTCATATACGCAGACTGGCATCGTAGTACTGTTCGCTTAAGGACACTTCTGTTCAGCTTTCCTCCCTGGCTCCCAAAGAGCTTCGGGTGTGGGATACCAAGGGAGCTTTGACTCTTGAAAGCTTTATTACCAGGGATGGGCACAAACCGCATTTTTGCAGTTCAGTTTGTCATTCTTGAGCCACTTAAAGTTTAAACCCCTGCTTTCTGCGAAAACCCTCTGGGAGGAGAAAGCAGGGGTTTAAATGGCTCTGAACCACCATGAACTGCATCAAAATTCGTAGGACTTCGTGCCGGCGAATCAGTTCACAAACGTCACTTTGTAAACTGGCCAAAATTCGTGAAAAACTGTAGTTCATGAGCCGGTTCGTGCCCATCCCTACTTATTACCATGGAAATCATGTTAGTTTTCCGAATCCGTGAGGAATGATAGCAGAGAGTCTCCTCATTTGAGATCTTTTCTGTAGGGAGAGATTCCCCTGGTGTAGGAAAACACACGTGGAGTCACACTCAACTGCGTCTGCCTAATTTATTTATTTATTGTTAACATTTTCACCCTGCCCTCCCCGCGAGGTTAGACCAACATAGTCACGTGAAACATCCATCCAGCCTGGTATTGTCAGCTCTGATTGGCAGCCACTCCTCTCCAGTCTCTCTTCCCAAGATCTTTTATGTGTAGTTGCCAGAGGATGATCACTGGCCCCTCTCCGTGTGTAACCCACACTCTGCCTCTGAACTGGTGGGAAAAGCCAATGGATCATGTTCCATTGGGAGGGAGCAGGGCTATTTTGGGGCAGGAACGCACAGGAACAGAGTTCCGGCTGGCTCCCAAGTTGGCCACACCCAGCAGGAACTCATTAGCATAATAGGCCACACCCAACAGCAGAAACTCATTAGAATTGGCTACATTAGGGGTGTGTGGCCTAACATGCAAAGGAGTCCCTGCTACAAAACAAGGCCCTGGGTTTGGACAACAAACAAGGTTAACAGAATAAGAAGCAAAAGGTGGGTGTGGCTGGATGATCACACTTCTGGTAACATGGGGGTGCGGCCTAATATGCTAATGAGTGGTCCAGTCAGGGGGTGTGGCCTAATATGCCAATGAGTTTCTGCTGCTGGGTGTGGCCTGTTATGCTGATGAGTTCCTGCTGGACTTTTTCTACAAAAAAAGCCCTGGGAAGGGAGTATATGAAGTTCCTCTACCGCAGCAACCACAGAGGAACTCACAGCGTAGGTATACAAGGGAATAGTGATCTGTGTGAAGAAGACGCTAACACTGCTTCAATAAAGACCAAAGCATTCACAAATACAATCATGTAAGCTCAATCAAATCCAGTGTTAAAGTAGAGAAGTTTCCTTTTGAAATGAAGACGTGTGAAGAATGATAAACGAAGGATTCGGATATTAAGAATTCCGTTTCGAAGAACTTCCTCAGTAACTGAAACAATATATCTTCAAATAGGTTATATGCACTCTTGTGAGTTACAGCAAGAGTTTGCTGTTTGCTGTAACTCACAAGAGTGCATATAACCTATTCCAAGATTCATTGTTTCAGTTACTGAGGAACTTCTTCGAAACGGAGTTCTTAATATCAGGATTCTTCGTTTATCATTCTTCACACGTCTTCATCTCAAGAGGAAACTTCTCTACTTTCAGATTGGATTTGATTGTGCTCACATGATTGTATTTGTGTCAATGCTTTGGTCTTTATTGAACCAGACAAATCACTTCTTCAGACAGATCACTATTTCCTTGTTCCTCAACCACAGGGCAGACCTGCGTAATCATAGATGTCTAGTGCACTCCACTGGATCTCTAACACTCCTTAAATGACTTTCTCCTCGCTTCTAGGTTTGTTAGCGTCTGTGACCTGTTTGCACCAACTGACCTGGGCAAAGAGAGCCAGGTTTGTATGAACTACTGGGGAGCTGCTGGAAGCATTTCTGGGTGGAGGGGCATTCGCAGCTACAGATCTGACGAACCCCTCTGTCTCCCTTTCCTCCAGATCTTCATTTCCCGCACCTATGACGCAACCACCCACTTTGAGACGACGTGCGACGACATCAAAGATATTTACAAGCGGATGATGGGCGTAGACTTTGACTTCGAAGAGATGAAGCGGAAGAAGAACGACATCTACGGCGAGGAGGAGACGCAGTAGCGAGGGTGGCGGAGTCTCAATCCGAGCTCTCGATCGGCCCGGCGGGGTGTGCGCACAGAGGAACTGAAGCGAGCACCGTCTGAAAATTCGATATTGTAAGGCCTGCTTTTTGTAATCCTGTCTCAAGAGACTGAAAGGGAAAAAAAAGTCCTTCACTGGCAAAAATGCTCCCCCCCCCCCCCCCCGGATGTAATCACGTGTCGATTCTTTAAAACGAGGCGGCTGTGTCAAAATCTGGCCCGATACTGACACGCTTTGATTTAACGGTCCCTAACGTTGGTGAAAGATCAGCACCCGTTTAAACGCCTCTCGCTGATCTCGGGTCATGGATGACTCGAACGCCTGCGTCGCCTTCCGTAACCCTTTCTCCCCTTTCAGTCTCTGCTTCTGTCCAAGCGGCGGCGGCCACCCCCCCCCCCCCCCAACCATGGGTGCGTGGAACCCGTGAACAGCCTCCAGCTGGGGGGGGGGCCTTCATCCCAAGCAGCCTTTTCCCATCTGGTCTTAACTTCATGGCAAGCTGTTATTATGGCCAAAGTCCACAGCAACTGTAGCCCCATGGCAGGATTTCCCCCCCCCCAGCACACTCCTCCCTTTCCCTGTCCTCCCCCCCCCCCACTAAAAGCTTCTCGAACCCGTTTACATCTGTTGGGACACGGCCTCTCTTTTGTGTTTCAAAAAGCGATACTAATAAATCGGTGCAAGAGCAAAACACCTCCAAAGCAGGCCAGCGGTGTATGTCTGTGTTTGCAAGGTTTCCCCTCCCCCTTTCCACCCCCCTCCCCCTGTACCACGTGCGGCTTCTCAGGTGGACCAAACTGGACCGCAGTATTGATTTGACGGAGCCCGGCCGCCTGTCCGGGAAAGGCTCCAGATGACTTCTGTACTGCCAAGTAAAGCCAACTTTCTGGAAACGAGTCCGCGCCGTGGTCTGATTCAGTCCGAACGCATCCGGGATGCGTGTGTTTCTCCCCTGGGGCGGAGCCGAGCTGGGGGTGGTGGTCAGGGCTGTCCGTCGGTTGGCTGCCTGTTGGAAGGTTGAGACCGAGAGGGGCCCGAGTGTTCACCTTCAGTTCTTCTTAAGCTGTGCCGCGCGCTCGATTGGCCGTCATAGACTTCCGTGCCAGACCGTCTAGCCGAGACGGCAAGTGCACTTGGCTTGGGGCTGCCCTTGGAGAACATTCAGAAGCTGCAGCCAGCACAGAACGCTACGGGGAGACCGCTGGTTGCAGGCAGCCATCGGGAGCGCAGCACTGTGAGATGACAGCAATTGCACTGGCTACCGATCTGCTCCCAAGCCCAATTCAGGGAGTTAGAATCATAGAATGTTAGAGTTGGAAGGGACCTTGCAGGTCATCTAGTTCAACCCCCTGCACTCTGCAGGAGCATAGGCCGAAAGATAGCCCTACGTAGAATCATAGAATGTTAGAGTTGGAAGGGACCTTGCAGGTCATCTAGTCCAACCCCCTGCACTCTGCAGGAGCATAGGCCAAAAGACAGCCCTACATACCTACAACATATCCGAAAGATGGTCGTCCAGCCCCCGCTTGAAAACGTCCAGCGAAGAAGCATCCACCACCTCCCGAGGCAGACTGTTCCACTGCTCAACCACTCTTACAGTTAGGCAGTTTCTCCTGATATCTAGCCGGTAACGACTCCCTTGTAATTTCCACCCATCTAGTCTTGCAACCCGGAGCGAGAGAGAATAGATCCACTACTGTATTGGTTTGGACCTTTAAAGTCGGGTACTCAAAAAGTTGAGTGTAGCAACCATAAAAAAATATAAGAAAGTGTTTATTACAGTGTATCAATTAGCAATTAAAAATATTATACATACTCATGTGTGTCATACATAGCATGCAGGGGTCATTTCAAGGGGGAACGAGCAGGAACGGCGTTCCTGGAGAAACAAGCCCAGGAGTAGGGAACCCATGCATGCTTGCATGCCTGCCGTTTGCTTCCTCAGCCAGCCAGCTAGCCAGCCCACAGCGACGGGTTTATAGAGTCATAGAATGTTAGAGTTGGAAGGGACCTTGCAGGTCATCCAGTCCAACCCCCTGCACTCTGCAGGAGCACAGCCGAAAGAGAGCCCTACATACCTACAACATACCTGAAAGATGGTCGTCCAGCCTCCGCTTGAAAACCTCCAGCGAAGGAGCACCCACCACCTCCCGAGGCAGACTGTCCCACTGGTCAACCACTCTTACAGTTAGGAAGTTTCTCCTGATATCCGGTAACGACTCCCTTGTAATATCCACCCGTTAGATCTGGTTAGCAGGGAAGGGTGGGTGGGCAGACATTCCCCCCTTCCCCCCCCACCGAGCCTCTCCGCTTGTGCAGAGAAATTCAGGGAAGGGGGGGGGATTTAAATGCCTTTTTTTCCCTTCCCCAGGTGGAAGAAAGGCATTTTAAACATGCCAGGGTTCCCTGCCCTGCAAGGGCACCTGGAGAAGATCAGGCAGGGAACCCAGCTTTATCAGGGGGTGTGGCATATGCAAATGAGTTATGCTAATGAGCTCCTGCACCTCTTTTTCTACGAAATGACCCCCAGACAGCAGCCTATTGGACTTGCGCGTCTAACCATCATGAAGCCACGCAAGTGACCTGATCTGTCTCTGGCGATGTTTCCATCGTCTCAGCGGCCAGGGACAGATTAACCGGTGAGAGGTCTCATCTATTTTTGTGGGCTGGCTCACAATAATATACTGGCCTGTTTTAATTTGGAGCCTCCCCCCTCTATTGAACCATTTCAAACCTGCCCGGCCCTTAGATGATATTTCACGTTTTGTGTGTGTGCTCGATAACGGTTTTAGGCCACTGAAGAAGGTTCTCTTGGGGCCGAAACATGTCTGGTCGAATGCTCCCTCTAAGCTGTGGAGTCTTGCGAGCTTTGCGAGCTACCGGCATTAAAGTTGTGAGTGAGCCATTTGGCTACGGCATAAATTAGTTTGCTCTGGAGCTGTCCTTCCCGAGCTAAGACAAAAAGGTATGAGCCGGAGGCTAAAGAACTGTGAGCTCACTCACACCAACTCAGCTTAGAGGGAACACTGGTCTGGTCTGCTGGCTTTTAATGAAATACTCACCTGTGTGACTTTAGGATGATTAGACATGCCAGTCCAATAGGCTGCTGTGTATGATGCTTTTATTTCATATGTATGCATAATGTTTTTAATTGCTAACCGACACATTGTGTGATAAATATTTTGTTATATCTTTTATGCTTGCTACACTCAGCCTTTTGAGTACCTGAGATGTTTTTCAGGTTGGGTTTGGTTCCCTTTGCTTTATTTATTTATTTTTGGGCCTTTAAAGCCCTACAGGGCTCAGGACCAGGGGTTCTGCCGGACACTCTTCTCCCATATGTCCTGCCGGGGAATCTAGAACACACGGAAGAGGCCCCTCCTGACATTTCCAACCATTCAAGACGCTCTGTTGGTGGGTACAAGAGAAAAGGGCCTTTTCTGTGGCAGCCCCACAGTTCTGGAACGACCCCAGGGAGGCGTGCCCGGCCCCTCACCCCTGATCTTTGAGAGGCAGCTGAACACAGTTTTATTTATTACCGAGTTTTTCTCTGAGGTGTGCACAACGACAGTGGGGATGGGAGAGTGTGCTCCAGGCCTATAGCTACGGTGGGGCTTTGGGGGGCTCCGCCCCCTCTCTTAAAGGCACAGTGCCACAAGGATTTCTCCTTTAAATGTTTGTTTTCCAGTCGTTTTAGAACTTTTTAAAAGGCATGAGCTCCTTTAAGCAGAGTGGTGTGCCGTAGTTGACGAATTCCTGCACTGAGCAAGGGGGTTGGAGTAGGTGACCTCTGGGATTTTACTAACCGGAAGCCTGTGGAGCACTGGCCGGGGAACATGGGCCTGACCTCTGTCCCCAACCCAATGCTACCCTGGCCAAGGGTTGGCACAGTTCAGTCTACTTCAGTCTAGTGACACTAGTCTTCTCCCCTTGTTTGGCTTTATAGGGTTAATTAAAAAAAACCCTTACCAACTGCCCCACGTTACACAAAAAAGTGTTCATGGATTTGCAACGTCAACCTTTTAATAAATACAAAGGTTGCTTAAAAGGTTGATGCTGCAAATCTGCGAACACTTTTTTGTGTAAATAATAATAAATAATACTTTCAATTTATTAATCGCTTTTTCCCACTCATGCGGGCTCAGAGCGATTTACAGTTACTCAAAGACAATGGACTAACAATATATTCGTGGGGGATAGAGAAGACAACATACAATATTTAATCACACACACATTATGTAGCTGGTCGGAGGATCATCTGCAGGCTGTATCAGTCATGTTCCGACGGCATGTATTCTGTTGGCTGGCTGATGATGTCAGGGCTCTCGATGTCGCACTGTCACACTGCCACCGCAGTGTGGGGCAGTTGGTAAGGTTTTTTTAAATTAACCCTATAAGGTCAAACAACAAGGGGAAAAGACTAGTGTCACAGGCAGAGGTCATTTTGCAGAAAAAGAGGTGCAGGAGCTCATTAGCATAACTCATTAGCATAACTCATTTGCATATGCCACACCCCCTGACATACCGGAAGTGTGTCAGAAGGCAACACCCACCGCTCAGGCTCCACTGGACTCTTGGATTGCTAGCTATTGGGGTGAGGGGAACGTGCAGATCTGTCCTCGCAGAGGAGGGAGAGCTTGTACCTGAATAAAACTTGGTCTTAAAGGTGCCACTAAACTGTTTTGGACTGCTAGCTATTGGGGGGGGGGGAAGGTGCAGATCTCACCCGGCAGAGGGGGGGGACCTT